AAGAAAAGGAAGCTAAGAGAGTGGAGGGACTGAAGAATGACATTTTTTTAACTTGTAGAGATAGAGATAGGTTGAGATAGTCGCTGGCGAGATTAAAACGCTTGTTCTTTAACACTGTTTTCATAAATCCAGACGTATTATGTCTAATTATTTCCACGGAACATGTCTGGATGACCCGGAAAGGCGAAAAATTGAGCGTGTCGAAAAACTGTCAATCTCTCTAATGCGTCTGGAGTCAAACTAGGACATTTTTGTGATCATTTGTAACATTCTGTACCTATATTATTTAGAAAAAGGAGAAGAACCTTCTTCGTAATAGAAATCACACTGAGCTGAAATACAAACGTTTGCTGCCACACAACTGTTAATCTCGAAACGATTTACACTTAGATACGAACAAATTTGTCACTGGGAAATACAGCAGTTATCCTCAGTTTTATTGGGCCGCTTTTTCAGTGAAGAACTAAGAACTTATGTGATAAAGAAAACAAAAACTCTGCTGTTACACTTTACCTTTACCTTTTCCTCAGCTGGGCTGCATTTGCAGATGGATGACGCAGAAACATCGACAGCCAACAGAGTAAGGGACRAAATGAACAGCTTGAAACCCTGGTTAAGAAAGTTAGGTAGAAAAAAGTTTAAGCTAACTCTCCTTAATAGTGAATGAGTTTTTAATTAGTAGGCAAAAAACTGTGGGAAAGGATTGAAACGGCTACCATCTTGCCAAAACCGTATTAAAGAATAATAAAACGGGTCTGGCTTATCTCTAAATTCAGTGCAATGTGATTGATAAGTAAACTTCGTTCTATCCAAAGCTAAAATCGGCCCGAACATCTGAAACTTTTTCACATTGTTATCACAGCAGGTATATGTACGAAGCAACAATGAATTTTCTTCCCCACAAATGGGAAATAAAATTATCGTCAAATGAAAGTAAACTCACCATTTTTCTCTTGTGAAAAAACTTCCTTTCTTTTCTCTTCCTGTAGCAGATGCAAAGCTGTGTGGATATAGGCTGGAATAAGCGAAGCCTTTTTATACTTTCTGAAGGTTTCTCAATGTT